ACATCAGATGACAGGTCTTGCGATAGCGATAGGGTAGCATAAGTTACATACATAATATGGCCTTATCGACGGCCATGGAATCACATATGTCAACAGTTTAACATCACATGGAAGGTCTTGCAACAGCGATAGGCTGGCATAAGTTACATACATAATATGGCCTTATCGACGGGGATGGAATCACATATGTCAGCAGTCGAACATCAGATGGAAGGTCTTGCAATAGCGATAGGCTAGCATAAGTTACATACATAATATGGCCTTATCGACGGCGATGGAATCCCATATGTCAACATCTGAACATCACATGAAAGGTCTTGCAATGGCGATAGGCTAGCATAAGTAACATACGTAATATGGCCTTATCGACGGCGATGGAATCACATATGTCAACAGCTGAACATCGCATGGAAGGTCTTGCAATAGCGATAGGCTAGCATAAGTTACATACACAATATGGCCTTACCTACTTACTTGAACCTCATAAGTATTACCGATTACAGTGGCATTTATCACAAACCTCGCAAACAGTGCCAGCAAAAATCTACTTCAGTCCAACCATGTCTTTCAGCCAGCAGGGAACTGAACTGTGGTGAACCCTGACCAACTGAAGGAGAGACAGGATAACCCAGGCGCCTACTGTTTTTCCACCAGGATACCTTAAACTCTCTTGTCAGGTGAGACTTGTCCTGTCTCTTGTCTCTTGTATGATGCATTAGGAGTCAAAACAGGTTTCAGCGCTGGATATAGATTATTGCTGTGGTCTACTTTACCCGCATTCTAAGGTCACTTAATTTACAGGCAAAATTCGCACAAGCTGCATGTTGGGTAGCAAAAGCATGTTGAGAGCAATTCAAGTAGTTAAGAATGAGTGGTCAGGTCGGGCGGTTTCGTTTCAGAGCAGGGGGCCTGACGGCACCGCGCGCTGCCAGCATACTTCTCTTCTTGACATGGGAGACTCTCTGACTCGGGCAGTTGGCTCCAGGAAGACGTCAGACACCACAATAAGGTAACAAGATCCACCATCGCCGCAGGTGGCCAAATAATCGTCACAGAAACATCGGTTCGGCCTTAGGTGCCTGTTGGACATAAGCGGAGGCCGTAAATAGACATGTAGTCCACAGATGACGCTAGTGGTCGCCGAAAAATGGTTCCGGGTAGGTGCGAGTTGTAGCCGGAAGCGCGGTCTCCTCCGCCGCGGGCGTGCCGGTTGTAAGGACCTTGAGGTGGATGTTAAGGCCTTGAGGCGGTTGCTGGGGTCTTGGGGCCGTTGCTTTTGTGTGGTCGTTCGTTGATCTCTGAGGCGTTGGGCTGCACGTGGTCTGTGTCCTGGATGGTTGATTATCCCGGGGCATTGGTAAAGTCTCTGCGCTGAGTTACAAACTATAGAGCCGCGTTGTCAAGTATATCCACGTAAGAAGTGAAGGGCGGAAAGTGCGAGATTGCTGCTACACAGCCCAGCTCTTGGGATGGAGGGCCCTCGTTCTGTAGTGGGGCCCTGACTGACACAGGGTCCTTCAATTGTCTCGCTGTGGACTCTCATAATAAGGTATCGCATCTCCCGTTATTGTCGAAGGGTCCCGGCCAACACACTAGCGCCCCGACCAATGGATGCTGTGATGTTCGGAGGTCAGTCCTTGCTCCTGATCACCAGGCTTGTTTTTTACTCGAGCTGGATCATAAATCGACTCATGGGCCAATTATTTCGGGATGAGTCGTGAGCTTAAGTGATTCATTAAAAAAGAAAATGTTGCTTTGAGTCATGAATTCCTTGTAAATTTCATGGGCTGAATCGCGAGACAATCATTACTAACAATGTTGTGTCAGGGGGTCATATGACTCAAGTGAAAATGGTAACATGAAACGCAGCACACCCCATAGAAATTAAGACCATTTCAGTGTGTTGAAAGGAATAGCACGCAGTGTTAGTTATCAAACTTGTTGCAAAATCGGCACAGAGTTTACTTTTGTTATTTCTAAGCAGCAAGCACACGATTGTTCGTCCTGAACTAAAACATGCCAAATCTCAGCTAGGAACCAGAGGATATTGCACGGCACGGACACCTTACATTCTTATATGCTATCCTTAAATCAGTAAAGGATTGTCTGCTACCTGTAACATGAAAGGGATAGGCATATTTTTCATTGTCAATTGTCACGGTAAAGAGCAGCAATGAATTTTGAGTTCGCTCCCGCTATTCGTTTCGATAAAAATATGTTGCCAAAATATCAACGCATCTATATCTTCATTCTCCTGGTTTTCTCCGAGGAATAAGACTATTACCGCTGTCTCATCTATGTGTATGATGTTCCTCGCAAATGCACTTAACAACTTACGAAAAATGAAGAAGTCCAACCTATGGTTGCCTGAAAACGTTAACGGTGATGGTGGAGGTGGCTGTCCTTGCCTGTGTTGTCATCTTCATCGTGCCGGGCCCGTCTTTGTCATCTGGCCTGAAACTGGAATGAGTTGCTAGACACCACGTCTTTTTTGCGTGCACAAAGCATACTGGCCAAATTGCCGGTGGGGCCCCAGCTTTATCATATGTGGGGGTCTAACCCCACTGCTACTTCCCCCGTCCTGTCTTATCCTTCTTCTTTCTTCTTCCATCTCTCCTACCGCGTGTTTCTCTTAATTTTCTTCTCTTTCTGTCCCCCCGCTCGTCCTCCTCGGTCTTTTTTTATAAGTTAAGATAGTCACAATCGTCAAGTTCTTTGAGCAGAACCAACTAGCCAAATAAATCGTAAAAAATCGCCTTGATCCTACGCGCTCACAATCTCAGGGGCTCGCTCACAATAAGAGCAGTGAGCATGGATGCAGTTTCTGTGCACACAGCAGGCGTGCGCCACTGCAGAAAACACCAGGTGGCGGGCGCGGGGCGCGCGGGAGCGACACTCGTAAAGTAATGCTGTCTCGAAGTCTTTGGAAATCATTTATGCAATCCACATATGAGACAAAGCGTATATTTCACGTTGCAATTGGCATTTACCCACTAAACAAATTGCCCGTTACAGCAACACCAAGAAAAGACAGCCTACATTTGTTTTTCACATCAACTACCAGATTCCAGCCTCCATTCGCTGCGTTATAAACGCTAAAATAGCACCTGCCAAATTCTCCCGGACCGCCTACTGAGCGCAGCAACTGAAGTCCTAACACGATCAAAGGTGCTTCTCTCAGATACGGTTTTATTTTCGTCCGTCCACTGGCTGCTGCCTACGGTTAGACGCGAGACCGACGCCGTGTATCCTACCGAGACTAGAATGCCGGACGTCGCGGTTTTTGTTTCTGAGACTTGCTTCTGAAAGTTGTATTGGATAATGCATTAATGCGCATCAGCTAATGTTACGCTATGAAGTGCAAAAAGACATTTCTAGACAACAAAGTTTCTCTTTTTAGCAGATATGCTGCTCGATGCGTCATCGTTTGATTACGTCATGAAACGTTTCTATGACATCAGAATCGTTGCCGAACTGGCCTTGCGAAATTGTCATCGTGGCGGATGTCATCGGGCTGAATCCCCTACACTACTACAACTGGACGAGAAATGGCGCGTTAATTGGCGTGTGTTCGCCGAACCCAAATATCATTATGTGCACGTGCTTTAGCGCCTTCTCGCGGTCTTCTTGCATATTTGTTCCGTGATTTTATATTGGTTACGTGCATTTAAACAGTCAATTACGGCGCTATTATTAAGCTATTCCAATCCTAGTCTTATTTGCGCCATAACTAGTTTCAATACCCAAAGTCCTGTATTATGTGGCATAAAATGAACCCATTGCATGGCTTGAGGGTTAACTGCAGTCCGCTGCTGTCAGATATCATGTTGACATTCTGCAAACTCGGGTGATTTGACGATCATAATTTGCTTGATCCTGAGCACTACACGGCCAATGAGACGGGATTATTCGTTTGACGTTTTTATGGCGTCATACATGCCTCAGTGACCTTGATATAGTCCGCACGGAATGTTCTGCAAAACTTTGCGGGGGTCAAGCTCAGACACCGAAGGATTTTAGGTCTTAAAACGGGCGTGCTGTGAGCTGCACTGAATAATCCCAAAATGGATCTCTTAGTTCAAAACCCCACACAAATATGGAGGGACACTTCCTTTCAGTTTTATCTTTTTTGTCTGGACATTCCGTGCTGATGCGACTTTTGTATGCTCACTACCATCTCCATACTTACCACTGTATAATGCTTAGAACTGTCAGGACTTTTACTACCAAGTACATAGCGGGAACCATCGTTCCAGTAGCCAACGAGGTACACAACTACAGCATCCGAGCCGCAAACTGCATAACACAGCCACGTTCTCTAATTGAAACTGGCAAACACCGGCGGTGAATCAGAGGAGTCACCATACTGAGCCATGCCGATATTGATCCGCATTCAACATCATTCAGTGGAGATTTGATCCGTGCATCCCTTCTAAAAACCACTAAAAGTCCGAATGTACATGTGCGCACTTTGCGCCTCGTGTAAGTGATGCCGCGGTTTTCATTCCCATCGTTTTACCATCTATTGACGTGCCCGGTGGAGGGCCACCATGGTTGCGGGTCCTGGATCTATGCACATCTGAATCTAAATCTGAATTATTGACACATGGTTTAGCTGTTTCCAAGCGAAGCTCGCATCGAGCGCAACTTTGATGCTTCGTAACCCATGAGCCGTGATTCGCAGTACCGGGCCCAGTCATCATAGAAAACCCTCACGGGCCTTCCCCCTCGCTCTCCCCAATAGTAATATCCATGCCCAGTAGATGCAGCAGCACCGCCTCTCGCTTCCGCGCGAGATCAGACGCAGAACACCCAATCAAATCTTTCGGCGGGGCGGCCGCCCGCTTCGGCCGTTGCAAAATCGATGCAGCGGCGACTCAAGTCTGGCCGGCCGCCGTCGTCATGGCAACTGGTCAATGCGTCGGCGCGGACCGTACAATCGATGCGGCCGGGGAGTCGGCGGCGCCCGTCGTCGCCTCCCCGCTCCGTCGGCGATTTTCGCGCGGGGACCGCCGGTGCGCCGGTGCTGCGTTGGTCCGACGTCGCGGTGCGCGCCGTCTGGAGGGCGCGCATGAGCCTCGGTATCCGCTGGCAGGCAGCTGGTTCTCTCCGCCCGTGCTAGACGGCTGAAATCCGTGAAGGTCCGCCTGGCACTGCGATGGGCACCGTGCTGTCCTTCAGCCCCCACGAGAAGCGCGCGCGCCCGGCCCCTGCCCGACGTTGGGGCCGGCCGCCTTCGACACCATGTACCACCTGCCGCGCCGCGAGCGCCTCGTCACCAACGAGAACGCCAGCGTGCTACTGGACCCGCCACCGGCCGACAAGGGGCTCAAGAAGCACTCCAATTTCATCCAGGCGCTCAGCTGGAAGCGCTTCTCCGCCTCCAATAAGAAGAAGCTCGATTCGAACCAGGGCCGCGTCAAGAGTATCTTGACACTGCGCCCACCGCTCGACGCCGTCCACCCACTCGTCGACAACAACCGCAACATCCAGAAAGGGTCGTGCTGCTATGGCGCGCGGCGGCCGTCAGTGGGGGGCCTGGACGTGGTGCGGTTGGGCGGCGGCGGCGCTCTGCGGGCCGAGCGCCTGCCGCGGGCCGTGCTGACGCAGGCGGCCGGCGCCGTCAGCCCTGGCAGGCGCACCGTCATCCAGGCGTCGACGTCCGAGCTGCTGCGCTGTCTGGGGCTCTTCCTGCAGCGGCGCTGCGCCCACCTGACCGACTTCCAGGCGGGCGATGCGATCATGTGGCTGCGCACGGTCGACCGCAGCCTGCTGCTGCAGGGCTGGCAGGTGAGCACAGGCTGGAGCTGGGGCTGGCAGGTGAGCAGAGGCTGGAGCTGGGGCTGGCAGGTGAGCACAGGCTGGAGCTGGGGCTCCGGTCGTTCTGCCGGCGGGCGAACAGGGGCGCGCTCAGGCACGTGTCTCAAGGCGTTCCGATCACCAGCCTTCAGGGCGGCCCTGTTCGGCGGGCAGTTGATGATAACAACAAAGGGGCACGGGGGAGGCTGAGTGACCGCGATTTCCGTAACATCACAAAGTGTATTCCCCAGTTTGGGGTTCCCCGGCCCTGTTGGGTGCGATCGTCTGTAAGCATACCGCTGACTTCAGCAGTGCGCCACATGGACGGCAAACCAAGAGCACACCACAGTGGGAATACAAGATAGCAGAACTATCGGGTAAAGCCGACTCTGTTGGATGACCTGAGTTGGTATCGGGTGTTCTTCGTCTTCTTAAACCCAATTACCATTGCGTGAGAGAGATGGTCATTCGCGCCGCGCAGAGGCACCGTCACGCTTTTACATGGGCGCAGCCAGTCATGGTAAGGGGTAGGGCACAAGGTTGACAAAGAGCCTCTGAATCACTGGATATGCCCCCTCTTGATTGCGAGGGTGCACGATGTGTGCTTTAAGTACGTTTTACGCACAATTTATCTTTGTTTTTCCTTCTTTAAATTGAACAATGCAGAAGCCACCGGAAGGGCCCCTACTTATCGCAGGAGGCCCTCATGGGCTCACTGCCCCGACCAATGTAAATCGCAGGCACTGGCCTTGTCCCTGCTTGGGAAAGCCAGGAACCCCAAGGACCAAGACGAACCGGGGGTTGACTGGTACTGGTGATGCCTGACCGACATAAAGGCTCTTTCGACTCACGGGGTCCCGGATCGGCGCAAAGAACCCTCTGACTGGCCTTTGACAGCCCGGCCCTTTAGGCCGGGGCTCCTTCAAATAACCTCTATTCAGCCCTTTGCACCCTCACACAGGGACCTAAAAGGCGGTGGAGAGGGGGCACGTGATCTATGTACCCGCTCCTGTCTGCGCCAGCGCGTCTCTGACCTTGACCCAGTTGCCACGCCAATATGCGGTGCCGATGCCGTCCGACACGTGCAGACGAATCATGTTTACGCTGGCAGCTCAGCTAATGCACAGAATCTGTCGAAGCTGGCTAGCAGGCTGATTGCTGGTTACGCTGGCACCTCAGGTAATGCGCAGGGTCTGTCGAAGCTGGCCAGCAGGCTGATTGCTGGTTACGATGGCACCTCAGGTAATGCGCAGGGTCTGTCGAAGCTGGCCAGCAGGCTGATTGCTGGTTACACTGGCACCTCAGCTAATGCATAGAATCTGTCGAAGCTGGCTAGCAGGCTGATTGCTGGTTACGCGCAGCCATATCATGACGTGTGGCGCGCTCACGAGCTGGTTGTTTATATGAAGGCTTGCTTTGCGTGATGATGATGATGGGGCATGATGCCATGATGTTATGTCGATAATGGTTCGCTATGTCAATAGTGTGGGTAGCTTGGGATCTTGTGGGCCTGGGGGGACTGGCTAAAATTTCAACGACAAAAAAACACTGGCGCAAGGTAGGCGAACGGTACTCAACACATACGATCCACCAGTGCCTACGTAATGTTTGATGATGCATTTAGGAGTCTTGATGGGGCTCAGGCGGTGTTTGTCTCCATGAAAAGCATATGACATCCCGTTGAACCTGGCCTGTTGAAACGCCCTAAGTCATCTGAAATGTTTCGTCTCCATGCCGTTCCAGTACAAAATTTGGTATCACATTCCTTCAAATGCTGCAAAGTGCAAAGCACCGTTTTGTATCTTTTCGCACGCAAAGATCTATGGAGCTAAACTTCGCCTTCTGAGTTTTGTTTTACCTCTGGAGCAAACAACCCTGTCCGTAAGCTTAGGGAAAAAAAAAACTTCTGAATGGCGCACATTAGACGGTCGTGATCAGCCTCGCAAGTTTTTCACGGAGGGTTGTTGTGACATCCTGCAGAGGAAGGCATAGCCCTACACATAAGAACGAAAAAGGCCTTCCTAAAAGGAAATGAATTACAGAACCAGAATGTTCATTAAGGAGACGTGAGAATCAATGTGTGGCATGCATACTACCCCGCATACAGCAGTCAAACGGCGAATGAAAAGCGGGGCGACGCGCGGTGCATGACTGTGTCTGCGACAATAGGCTGTCGGCGATACACCTGTCCGGTCACACAATGGAAAACAAAAAACATCAGATCACTGTCGACGTGTCCGGCGCGATGATTTGGCAGCGCTGACGTCATACTGGGCGCACGACGCAAGTAGCTTTCAAAACTGCTTCTATAAAATTTGCCACCGAAACTAGCCGAATCGCTGCGTTAGCAAGCTTCAAGTCTGGCTCGCTTACGTCGGTTTCCGCAGAAGATTTCCTGGGCGCTCAACAGCTACTGGTACAGACTCAGACAAGACCGCATAACACAGCAGAAATGGCCGTCTCGCATCGGGACAACCTCGACACGCACGCGCCATTTACACATGTGTGGTCAGATTAAATGGAATGACTCCCGCAATATACAGCGACTTTTATCACGAGGGATTTCAACTTGCAGCAATATATTTTTCGGGCTGGGCTTAACTTCGGACTAAACGTAGGACTAAGCATTGGAATACTTCGTCGGCACATTGATGCTTACTGTATACTCCTAATGGGCACGAACATTCACATGGTTATTATCATTCCTGACTGCTTCTTATGGACCTTGTTTCGAAACAGGTAGTTTTCAAAGGAGTTTGTTCTGAAACATCCATACGTCATGCGGGTTTGCGAAAAATGCAAAAAATGCCGAATTCATTACAATAAAGTAATGCATTATCAATCAATCAAGTAATGCGAAATCATTACAATCAAGTAATTTGTGCATTACATAAATCAAAAATGAATACGGTATAAGGCCAAGCATGCGCCATAATACTAATAATATTAACAACAGAGTTATTATTTTAATGTCAGTGGTAAATAAAATGATTTTTAAATGCTTTTCTCTTGGATTACACCGATTATGGCATCTTACACAATTTTGTACGATACCTGGAGGTTCGAAAATGAAGTCTCATAAAATTCAAATGAGCGCTAAATGCGGTTCAGACGTAAATGCGCGAGTGGTAGCATTTGATACCTCACAAAGCGGCTTGTGCCTCGTTTGATGTAATAATGCCACTTCTAAAATGCGACTGACATTCCCTCAAGAAGACGAGAGGCAGAGCAGGTTGCCTACGTTGCCGGTCGCCAAAAACCTCCGATGCAACGTTCGATGATGTCAACATTCGATAATTTTAGAAGACGACAGGCCGGCCGTAAGTTACCTGACAGCTCGGCCACCTGATTTTCAGAACCATCCAACAAACTGGACTTGCTCTGCATGCCACTCCCATTTCGTATCTTCCGTAATTTAGCATAGGGGAGAGTTGGGAGATTGTATCAGTTTTTGCTCCGAACTCCCTCCTGCTTCAACTACTGAGGAAGGGTCTAAAAGTCTTATTTCTCCAGACAGCTGTAACTAAGTAGGTGAAACTTTTAGAGAGCACGCTTCCGTTTTTTTTTTTTTTTTGGTGAATGAGTTCTGAATAAACACCAAATGAGACAGCCAGCCCCAACCCGGAATAAGTTGGATCACATCGTGGGGAAGTTGTGCTTACGCTTTTTTCATCGAGCGATTTGCATCGCAGGCAAGCTGAATGCCTTACGAGATGTAAACCCCATGCCCTCGTCTGTGGTTCGTAATTTGTCATGATTGTTACATGACAAGTCTGTTGTCCCTTTATTCAGCCCCTATTCAGCCCCTTTATTAAGTGTTTCTTTTACAACTGCCACATCGGATGTGGTTGTTCGAGGGGGAATGATGGAGCTACATAGGTGATGTAAATGTTCAGTCCTTAACCACTCAAACGCACACATACACCTATCGCGACAGTTTTCAACATCCTGCAAAAAAGAATTGGCGCGCTAGCCCCAAGACAAGTGCACGTATACGAACGGAAGCGCACTGAAAGGTAGAGGGATCTGCTGCAAGTCAGCTGAGTGGCGCACACGGGCTGAATATAACTTTCACCACTCTCATTGTTGGTGGCTCCACAACAAGGATCAGTTGCATAGATTTACCATACATCACCCTGATATCACTTGGACGTGCTACAACTCATCCCACTTGTCCCCACGCCATGTATACCCGTACTGACAGAAAATTGTCTTCATGGGGGTTTTGTCACCCGCAACATTGCAATATTACAATGATGCAAAATTCGATTACTTAATGGACACGCCTGATATTTTAAACCGAGAGTGGCATGCCTTCATTTCTCCCCAAACTTAATCGTGCAAACTTTTCAAACGCAATACATGCTACGAAAACAGTCGAAGTAGATTATTAGCGTCAGCCCGTTTGAATGCAACTAGGCATAAAGCTCGCTTTTCAGGTAAGAGTTACATGCCCCAGATGAAGGCTAATGTCACAGGTGTTGACAGGTGTAGCGAAGCATTTTTCAATTCCCAGTAAGTATCCAGATAAAAAGAGCACCTCAACCATTGATAAATGAAAAAGTAAGCATCAAAAACACGAGCAAAAGCGGTATTAAACCACTTTCAGTCGCCCTGTAAAGGCGTCCCTGGAATGCCACGTCTGCCGCCTAGCCATCGATGCCTCTGAGCGATGGCACCTGATGCTTTGTCAGGGAAAGCAGCGCAAGCCCCGGGTTCGGCTGGCGAGCGGACTAGCAGGAGGTGCGCGTCCGCGTAGTGTCTTCAATCCAGAGCGTCAAAATAGTCTTCAAAAGTTTAATTCTGCGGGCATCAAAAGGGACTTCACCCAGTCCGGCACGCACCGCGAATACACAGTGTGATCACGCCACAGAAATGAGCATCACCAATGATTCCCCCTCGCAATCGCTTCTCATCACGACGAATTCTCTTTGCAGGACATCTCCTTCGTGAACCCTGCAAACGTGGTGTTCGTCTACCTACTGGTGCGGGAGGTGGTGACGTCAGAAGTGACGTCAGAGCAGGAACTGCAGGCCGTCGTGCTGACCAGTCTCTATCTCTCCTACTCCTATATGGGGAACGAGGTGAGGCTTTCAAATGTATGCGCTGTACAGCGTTTAATGGGAGCATTGCAATGGCATCGCTGAATTGGGTACTCGGTCGCATTTGTTGAGAAATTGGCGAGCTCAACAATGCACTGCTTGGTGGGCTGGTGACACATATTGTCGCCATTGAGAGACGGCAGCATTGCACGAAACTATTTCGGTCAAAATTACGAAACACATCTTCAGGATCATCCTTCACAGGCGTCTTTCACCGACAATGAGCTTTCTGACGTGGGCTCTCTTACAGTAGAAAAAAGGTCTGAGTGTAATATAAATGCCTCTCAGAAAGCAACACAAATGCATGCCTTCAATTCTTTTGAGGAAACACGCAGTAAAAGCTGGATGAGTTTCATCTGGTACCAAACGTTATGAATGGAAACACTAACGTGCTTCATCCCACAACTCATGTATCCCCAATCATCGTCATTTTCCACCAACCATCCACGTGCATTTTACACTATCAGCCCGGAGGGCATGCTCAACACACAACTGCTTACTGAAATACGCATTTTTCACTACGAATATACGAGCATACCTACCAACCTGAAGACCCACGTGACCAGCGACGGACCCTGCGCTTTACCGAACTCCCGCGCGACTGGGTCTCTCCAGACTTAGACTCACCGAGTCCGTACTTGGTCATCGGGGGTGTCCTGTGGATTGCCTCGCACACGGCACTGTTGGTGCGCATGCCCAAGGTTGCGTGTTTGTTTTTCACACGACGCACGACGCCAGTAGCTTTCAAAACTGCTTCTATAAAATTTGCCACCGAAACTAGCCGAATCGCTGTGTTAGCAAGCTTCAAGCCTGACTCGCTTACGTCGGTTTCCGCAGAAGATTTATCGGAATTGCTGCTCCCTGATTCAGTAAAGCACTGGTCTGTTCGAGCAGTGCTTAGATCACGGTCCCGCGAACTCAGCTGCTAGTTGGGATTAGATCCCACTCGGTGCTGTGGGTATAGCGCCACTCACCCAGTACCGAGGTCGGCGCTAGATGTAGAACACACCGATGTGGCGCCCCCAAATCGATACACAGACGTCATATGGCACGTAGTCTGCCGTTAGATGCCCGCCAGATGCGAATGCTGCGCGCCGACGCTGGCTGCCTGGGATCGCTTGGTAAGATCCGATCCGTGCTCGAACGATGGCCAGACTCGACTGGTACCATCTGTGTCATGCACGGTTCATTGTTTCGTGCTCGGTTCAGTGCCCCGGTGTCAACAATGATGTGGAGCTGTCACCAAGTGCTGGTGATTGAAAGCGAAATATTTCTTTGACCCTGTGAAATTAGTCAGAATAGCAGTTTTCCATTTAGTCCATTACAACATTCGTGATGCGCTTTTCGTGCATTGTCTGTCCTTGTGCAGGTACCTAGTGTGACCGTATACCTCGTACATAGGTCTGAATGCGCCACCTGCTGGGACCATTGTCCGGAATGATCGCTCACCGCTACCTCACTTCGACCCGCCAGATCTCGTACCCGCTGAAGCCGTTCCTGGTTGAGTCCAACCGCGACCGCTTCTGGGACCGCTGCGTCGACATGATCGGCCTCCTCAGCGCCGATATGCTGAAAATCAACTCCGACCCGAGGTTTTTCACCGACGTGTTCACCGAACTGAAGGCCGTCTGCGCCGAGTGAAGGTGACGTCACTGCGCCGACGCCAGACGTCGCTGGTGTACCGTCCGGATGGCGTAGATAGCTCTAGTTGACCAATCGGTGGTGCAAACCAAGCCGGTGTGGGGTGGCCATAGGAATAACTGTTTCGCCGGGCAAGCTGCAATTCATACCCTCTGTGTGCGACAACCCTGTGATCTCATGCGACAAACGTGTCGTGGTGTCTTCTCAGCTGTGAGAAAACACACCTTTGAAAGCCCTGTACTGCCGTGCGTTGTTACGGGCTGCTACCATGACAGCTCGGGCATGGGCAGGTTCTTGTACGGCGTGCTAGATCTCTCGTAGCGTCTAATCATGCAAAATTCTATCTGTACTTCTAGAAAGTTCCATGGGTAGTTTTTCATATCGATCCCGTAATGTGCTTGTTGGCCTGCGGAAGAACCAAGAGCACGGTCGGCACATCTATTGACTAAGCGGCCAAGCGTCGACTATGAGCTCGACATGTTTCCATGTGAGGTCAATGTCGGCCATTTCAGCGCTTGTTTGTTCTGTCTTCGGTGCCGTCGTGAAAATGTATTGCATTCGCTGAGTTGAAATGGTAGTGTTACGGAATCTTTGGCTGGCCATGAGTACCAAGGATGTATCAAGATGTAGGATGAACCATCCATAACCCTAGGGACGTGGTTTTGACACATATTTGCAATGTCACTCAAGTTTCCGCTTCTGCTCATTATTTCTGGCGTAAACTTAACAAACATGCGCAAGAAAATACACAGCGGATCTCTACGATGCTCCGGTGCATAGTGGGACTAATGTCGGGATCATTTTTCATAGCGTGTTAGGTTTCGTGTGTGAATGTTTCTATGGATCGTAGAACGAGAGCGACAGCGGTCATCACGCCACGAGCGAGGTCGTTTTGACTTGAGTGCGTTGCCATTGACTCCGAACGTGTGTCTCATCATCAGCTTCGCGAATGTTGTGTTGTGCGTGGCACCCGAGCGCGACTTCCACAACTCCCCATGCTGTCTTCCCGGACACGTCACCATAGTGAACGTGAACGTGGGCTGCTCTTTAGCTGGGGGGGGGGGGGGGGGGGGGGGCGGGAGGGGCGTCATCCAGCCCACGGCCCGCAACGGAACCCCTCGCTCGCGGTGCAATAGCTGGTTGTTATGATGATCACAGCGATGTTGTTGTTCACAAGTGGTGCGAGTGCGGCACATTCGTGAGCGGGCACGTGCCGGGCGCCTCTGCAAATGCTCGTGACTGTGCTTCATGCCAAAATTTTCACAGAAGTATTGTTTGGTTCCTTACACGATTGTTCGAATGATTACTGTGATGTCCAGCTTCTCACATGTCGTTATGTTCGAAAAGTAAGTTAAATATTTGTTCCCTGAAACATGTTGGTTTCCGATCATTTTCTGTTTTGTTCTACGCCAGAATATCCTAAATACGTCGCCCCTGTGAGCACAGCTTGAGTTATGATCAGACACCGCAACTGTATTTGATCAGTTACGGTCCGACATCGCAGCTGTGTTTGATCAGTAGCGGTCCGACACCGCAGCTGTGTTCGATCAGTAACGGTCCGACACCGCAGCTGTGTTTGATCAGTTACGGTTCGGCACCGGAGCTGTGTTTGATCAGTAACGGTCCGACACCGCAGCTGTGTTTGATCAGTAACGGTCCGACACCGCAGCTGTGTTTGATCAGTCACGGTCCGACACCGCAGCTGTGTTTGATCAGTAACGGTCCGACACCGCAGCTGTGTTTGATCAGTAACGGTCCGACACCGCAGCTGTGTTTGATCAGTAACGGTCCGACACCGCAGCTGTGTTTGATCAGAAACGGTCCGACACCGCAGCTGTGTTTGATCAGTCACGGTCCGACACCGCAGCCGTGTTTGATCAGTAACGGTCCGACACCGCAGCTGTGTTTGATCAGTTACGGTTCGGCACCGCAGCTGTGTTTGATCAGTCATGGTTCGGCACCGCAGCTGTGTTTGATCGATGCTTCTCCGCACCAGCGGAGCGGAGAGCGCACCAAAGCGGTGCTCACCGCCGTCAGAAGCACGCCTGTTCTTGAGGTTGACTAACAATGGCTGCTGTGGCCTGTCAAACCGCATTCGACAATAGTGCCAATTCTGAATATAGGAACCCTAATATAGGACTGTGTGAATCGCACGCAAGTTTTGGGACGGCATTGTGACACTGAGAGAAACGTTCCCACGTCTCCTTGCTGGGACACTTTAGGAAAATCGGCGCAGCCCAACTGCATTGCCAGGTTCTGTACCGCTACCTCATTATGCGGCTCATTATGCGTGCTGCAGCGATACGTGACTGCAATGTGACTAACATTTATGACCCAAAATAGCATACAATCCTCGGCGACATTCCACGCACAATACATGCTTACTCTAGGCAAAGCAAGCCCAAAACGTTCACCACCAAGTCAGAGCCAATTCACCATTCATAGATGATCGCGCTCGATAGGGCCTGTGAAAACCCATTCACAGTAATGGCAAACAAATATAATTGTTTTCCGGACCGCCGCCAGATTGCGTCCCCTCAGACGTACGGCAGCGACAAATGCAGTGCATACCGTCACATGACACAGGCCCCATGAGCCGTCAAAGCATGAATGGTACCTGATGCAACGAACAGACAGCGCACGTGTCGAGTTATGGATCGAAAGAGCAGTAGGCGTGAGAATCGAAACCTCACATTCAAACACGCACGCTGCAGGTCGCGTTCCCCATGCCGTTCGAAGCCTGAGTCGCGAGCCGCGAGCTTTGCATGCCCACGGGGCGTGCGGACGCGAGCGGATACGGAAGCCAGTATAATTGCTAACTCAGCGCAGCAACAGCGTCCCCGGCGGACACACATCCTCAAAGTGTCAGCCACGGTGCTGCGCAGTTTAAGCCGCGCCGCCTCACTTCCTGGTGCCGCGGTTGAGCCACAATGGACTGGCCTATTTTGTAACCAGCTACTATACTTCATCTGTCGTAACCCGGATTGGACAAATACATATATGCATATATATATATATATATATATATATATATATATATATGCATATATACATAGAATATGCATATATATATATATATATATATATGTATATATATGTATATATATGCACATATACATAGAATGTGCATATATATATATGTATATATATATATATATATATATATATATATATATATCCGCCATAGAGCACTCATACTTCGAGTGTTGACATGCATGGCGCAGCTCATTCAGAGGCTGACTGTGAGGAACGGAGTATTCATTTCCGTTGCATTGCTCACATATGCGCATCTCGAGAAGAAAGATGTATTAATACACATGTATTAGTGGTCATGCAAGCTATGAAAACATTCTTATCTTGTGACTGGAACAAAATCAGGCAAGCGAAAGCGTTAAGCAATGCGCCATGAATTGACAAACGACAAGTTGAGTGGCTGCCCATGGTCACGTTATCGACCAAGCGGTTACGGCGTAATGGAATCCACAGTTATCAAACCCAAGAAGTCCTCTGAATAAGTACTCAAAACACCGCCCTATCCCGCATGGGTCGGGCGATGTGCACCGGACAGAACAGCCTAGAGCTCGCTTCTCCTCACTCGGTTTCTTCCAGCACATCCGGTATCTTCCTGCGGATCAGCCTCTGCTTCTGTTCCGAGCGGAGCCTCAACTCGGAGCCCAGGTACATGCAGAAGTTGTAGACTCTGCCCGGGCTGTCCAGGCGGCTGGTGGCCGGCTCCCGCAGCTGGCTCGGGGAGGAGCATTCCTCATCTTGCAGGCCGTTATGCAGACCAGCTTGTGGAACGATCCACGGAGGGGCTTTCGCCGGCGACATCGCCGACACCTGCAGGGGAGCCTGCGTCCCGCTCCGCGTCCCTTGCTGACGAGCCTGGTCTGCATTCACTGTGTGCCCGGTGCCGATGACGAAGGGAACTGAGGCAGGCAGGGGAGCCTGCGTCCCGCTCCGCGTCCCTTACTGACGAGCCTGGTCTGCATTCACTGTATGCCCGGTGCCGATGACGAAGGGCATTTGATCCTTTATCGACGGCGGTTCAATCGTCAGGTTGTATTCAGTTGTCGGTTCATGTGATTCAAACGATGACCCGTCACTCACAAGCCTGAACCATCCCGGGATCGAGGCTGAACTGGTCGAAGAAGGAGAACTTGTTCTGAAAAAGCGTGTATCGGTCAAAATGTAAGTCTTGGATATACACTTCATCGTGACCCAAAACAACCGTGGTACGTTAATGTAAACCGTTGTTTACAAAGAGCTTAAAAAGACTACCGTCCTGGTGTGCATCATCACCGTCCGTCCTGGTATATACAGTAGCGAGCAACAACAATGGGCTTCATGCCTGTGGCCGCACTGTCCGTCAGGATGAAGGATCTGTAACCACCTGCTCCGGCAGTTACTCATACAAAGAGCCGCTCAGCTGAACGGCTGAAAATGCAAGAGTTGCACAGCTGAACGGCTGAGCATGCAAGAGCTCTACAGCTGAACAGCTGAACAGCTGCACAGCTGCACAGCTGAGTATGTAAAAGCTGCACAGCTGAGCGGCTGAGCATGCAAGAGCTGCACGGTTGAACAGCTGAGGATGTAAGAGCTGAACAACTGAGCGGCTGGTCATATAATAGCTGAACAGTTGCACAACTGAGCATATAAGAGCTGCACAGCTGGGCATATCAGAGCTGCATAACTGAACATGTAAGCCAGCGAACCATCGTATCATGGCATGTTGCAATTTCCGATACAGAGACTTGAAATCCGTTATGATACCCGAGTCTGAGAAATTACAATGGGTTCTACCGTCTAGCTTCCCGAGCGAGAAGATTACGCACTGTGCAGAAACTTGTGGTTAAAGCTAATGCTTTCAAGACAAGTAATTTCTTGTTTGTACTCACTCGCCGCGTTGCAGGACTGGACTCAAGAAGGTCAGCCGATTGGCATACGGGCCGAGGCTTCCGGTGTGTTCACCGAACGTCGACGCCATTCGCAGACATCTCCGACAGCGCGAAAGATAATACTCGTGAATCTGGCGCCATCGAGACTTCACAACCGGCACTAGAAATGAAACGACGCGTGCCACGGGCCGGTAACTAGGCGTGGACGGAGCATGGTGGCAAACATCTGTGAAACGGTCACCTGGATCAGGGGCAGTGCAGCAGAGGGGAGGGGGAGCGGGAAAGGAGCAGCATCAGCTCTTGCCTGCCGGCAGGGACCAAAAGCATGCTTTGTCCCCCTCCCCCTCAATTTTTTGGGGGCCCCTTTTCCCAAACTAAAGGTATCGTAACTACCCGTATATTATGAAAATTAAGATCAAGATGGTCAACATTACTGCGCCAGACAGACAAAAATGTGGGTCAGCAGACCCTATTTGGCATTAAGAGGTCCGTTATCTGGATAATGAGACCACCTTTAAGAATGCGGTAGCCCATGTTCTAGATCAGAAGGCCCCGTTTTGTGTAAGTGGAGCCCCTTTGCTGGCTCGGGAGGCCCCGCCATTAACGAGGTGGCCGTGTTCTGGGCTAGGAGGCACCATCTGTATTCAGGAGGTCCCATTTCTGGAACAGGAGGCCTCGTCACGCATCAGATAACCGCGGTTTAGAAACATAATACCCTGTTTTGCGATTATGAAGCCCTTGGCTAGATTTTGAGAGCCCCTTCGTAAACCAAAGGCCTCCTGGTCTGGGTTAAGAGCCCCTCTAGGCATCGGAAGGCCCTGTTTTAGGTTACCGAGGTACTATGCTGAATAATTAGACAACCCCCATTCCGCTTTTGTATGTATCAACATTTTTTAATTGGGTAGGATTTTTGATAACAGTCTGATACAGGGGTGCATGCCCTCGGTGCCCTTTCCTGTCGAATACGACACTGCCCAAGAACTTTCCTCCGCCCTGTTATAAGGCCCCATTTTGTCCAGGAGGCCCCTTGAAAATCCTGCCCCCCCCCCCACGCCTCCTCATACTAAAAGCCTGTGGCGTCGCCCCTGTAATGTTCTGAAGGGAAACTGCTGCCACCAGTCAGGTTGTCCACGTGGCGGCGCTGGTGCTGCCCCCCCCCCCCCCCCCCGCCTGATTTGAGGCAATACAGCTCTAAGCCCGGATCCGCCGTGTGTGGACGCTCCGCCAAGCCGTGTACCGACAGAGCACGGACCGAGAACATAACATGGCGCGGTCCGTCTGTGACTTGTGTACAGTAACGTGTCGGTCTGTAACGTGTGGACTGCGGTGATCGGCGTTGGTAAGCGTCAGTGAGTGGACAGATACGACGTGCTTGTGATAGTGATTGTGCTGTTACGGCATCCGGCGACAGGATGAGCAGCGTCTCCAGCAACGGGGGCGGGGAGCAGAAGCCGTCGGAAATGCGGCTCCTGATCGACCTGTTCAACCGACCTGTTCAGATGGAGGCATCGCAGCAGCGGGAGGAGCGCCTCATCCAGCTTCTGGAGTGGATGGGCCCATCGTCAGCGCAGCATTCAACAGGCGACGACCGCGCGACTGGTGGCGATGGCGGCGTGCCCGCTCAGCGTGCGCCTCTGCTGCCCGCCTCGGGGCAGGATCTGTCCAGCCCGACAGGTCATCAGAGAGGTGACGGCGACCCGACGCTGCGTGCGCCGCTGCCACCCAGCTTAGCGGGTTCCCAGAGAGGTCACGGCGGGCCGATCACTCCGGGGCAGGATCCGCTCACCCCGGCCGGTCACACGAGTGGCGAAGGCGGCGTGACCCACTCCGGCCCGGCGCTGCGTACGCCTCTGCCGCCCGGCCCGGCCGGTCGGCCGAGCGGTGACAGCGGCGTAGCCGGTCCGGGCCCGGTGCTGCGAGGACCCCAGCCGCCCGCCCCAGGGCACGTGCGGTGCGTGCCGGCCGGCTATGACCCGGTGGGCGGTGACCGGGACGACCGTGAGCCCGACCGGGCGAGGTCACGGTCGCGGCTCCCTGCAGCGGCGACACCGGCCCCGCGGCTCACTGCGTCTGCTTCGTTGAAGGAGTTTGAGGCGTGGAGAAACAAGTTTGACGGCTACCGTCTACTCGTGGGCCAGGACGACCTACCCCAAGCGGAGCAGAGGGCTGCTTTGCTCGCGCTGCTGGGTGACGACTGGGTCAGGGTTGTCCGATTCGGGCTGCCTCAGTCGACGGGCGCGACGATCGGCGAGATCGTCATGGACATGCAGCATCATCTACGTCGCCAGCGCAACATCATCATCGATCGTCGTGACTTCAACACGCGCGTGCAGCAGCAGGGCGAGACATTCGACGAGTTTCTCTGCACGCTGAGGGAGACAGCGTCATTCCGCGACTTCTGCACATTTTGCACCGATGACCGGCCCCGAGACCGGCTGGTGGCCGGCGTTCAAGATGAAGACGCCAGGCGCCGGATGCTGGAGATGCCGGAGCTGACGCTGCAGTCGGCAGCCCACATCTGCCGTGTGTCTGAGAACGCCAGCAGCAGCACGTCAGCCATCCGGCAGCCGGTGACGTCATCGATGGCCAAGCTATCTAGATACCAGCGGGATAAGCGATCGTCGTCAGCGGTGAAGTCTGGAGAGAAGTGCGCTCGCTGCGGCACAGCGGCTCACCGGGATGAGCAGAGGTGTCCGGCGGCTGGGCGCCCACGCTTTCACTGCCAGGAGCAGGGACACTTCGTGGCTGTTTGCCGGCGCCAGCATGCTGAACCACAGAGGCGCCGCAGGAGCAACAGTCGGCGCCGTCAGGACCGCCGAAGCGGTTCACGAGTCCAGTCGCCCGTCCAGGTCGTGCAGCAGGTGACGACAGCGTCGGCCCAGGGCGTCAGACGGGTTCCCGACGTCCGTGTACGAGGCGTCTCGGTGCGCTGTTCGCCACGGGTCGAGCTGCAGCTTCATCGACCGGACGGAGGAGGAACGGCAACGACCTACTGGACGCTCGACACCGGAGCTGAGACGTCGGCTGTGTCACTGCGGTATGCCGAGAGGTTCGGCATCAGGCAGAGCAATCTGACACCACCGACAACCAGGCTGCTCAGCGCGGACAGCAGGGAGGTGCAGTGTTTCGGCACCTGCAGCCTCACACTCCGGCTCGGGCGAGTTCAACACACCGTGGAGGCGGCGGTCGTGAAGATGCTGAATGGCCCGTTGCCCTCGTGGCACGACAACATCAAGCTCGGCATTCTTCCCGAGAACTACCCTCAGCAGATAAAGGCGATGACGATGACTGCAGCTGCTGGAGATGCTGTTGGAGATGCTGCTGGAGTTGCTGCTGAAGAGGATGTCGACCGGGGGGAAGCCGATGACGACCATATATCTTCAGCACGAGATAACCGATGTGTGAAGACAACGACGCAGAAGATGCCGCCACGGTGGAATCCCAAGACGGTGGGAGCGGCATCTCGCGGAGTACCGCCGCTCCACGAGAGACAGGAGCACTTCAGTCAAATGAAGGCCGCCTTCCCGCGGGTGTTTGATGCTTCAGGTCCCCTGCGGGAGATGGCTGGCGGAAAAATGAAGATCGAGCTCACGGAAGATGCCGTCCCGTTCGCGACCCACGCCCCTCGCGCCATCCCGTTCTGTTGGCGTGATGGGGTACGGGAGCAGCTTGACGACATGATACGGAAGGAAGTCATCGAGCCAGTGGATCATCCGACGCTCTGGTGCCATCCTCTGGTGCCAGTGCCCAAGACGTCAGAGAGCGGAGCGGTGTCTGGATGTCGCCTGACTGTCGACTTCACCAGGCTGAACAAGTTTGTAAAGAGACCCGTGCATCCCTTGAGAAGCACGCACGACGCGGTGGCATCCATCGGCACAGAGGCCAGATTCTTCACCAAGCTCGACGCAAAGGCCGGCTATCATCAGATCCCCATCAGAGAGGAGGACAAGGACCTCACCACCTTCATAGGGCCGTGGGGACGGTTCCGGTTCCGGAGGGCGGTCATGGGACTGGTCTCCTCTGGTGACGTCTACGACCAGAGAGGCGACTAAGCCCTGGGAGACGTGCCACGGACTTGCAAGGTCATCGATGACGTCATCGCATGGGACTCCGACTACAACGACCATCTTCGGCACGTCTGGAACATCCCAACCCGCTGTGAAGACAACGGAATCACTCTCAACCCGAAGAAGTGTGTCTTCGCGGCGGAATCAGTCGACTTCTGTGGCTTCACAGTCGAAACCAGTGGCTACGCGCCGGACAGTAAGAAGACGGCGGCGGTCTCCAATTTCCCACAGCCGGAGTGTCTGACGGATCTCAGGTCCTTCCTCGGCCTGGTCCATCAGATGGGAGCGTTCTCTCCAGACGTAGCGCGCGCCGCAGAGCCGCTGCGTCAGCTCCTCCGTCCAAGGAACGCATGGCTGTGGATGGAAGAGCACACCAAGGCCTTCAACGAGGTCAAGACGGTGCTGGTAAAGCCGCCGGTTCTGGGTTTCTTCGACCCGAATAGGAGGACGGTCCTTGAGACAGACGCAGCACGTCTGAAGGGCCTCGGTTTTTGTCTCAAGCAGCAAGATGAAGCAGGAAACTGGCGCCTGATCCAGTGTGGATCACGCTTCCTGACAGACACAGAGACGAGGTACGCCGTGATGGAAGTCGAGATGTTGGCCATCGTCTGGGCCATGAAGAAGTGCGCCATCCACCTGCAAGGATTGCAGAAGTTTGAAGTCGCTACCGATCACCGGCCACTCATCCCCATTCTGAACGGGAAGAGTCCACAGGATATTACCAATCCTTGTCTCCAACGCCTGCGGGAGCGCCTGGCGCCCTACAACTTCGTGGCAGTATGGAGGCAGGGGAAGCTGCACGCCATTCCTGACGCCCCATCGAGGCACCCGGTCGAGAAGCCCACTGGAGATGACGAGACTACCGGAAAGGAGATCTCCTGCCAGCTCTCCAGCATGGTGATCCATGCTGTGACCAGCACCGACGGAGATGGGACAGCTGCATCACCGTTCGAGGGCACGGCGCTGTCGGCGGTGCAAGTGGCTTCAGAGCGCGATCCTGAGATTTTGGCCTTCAAAGAAGCCGTGCTGTCTGGCTTCCCCGACCACAAGTCCGAAGCAGACCCGCAAGTTTGACCATACTGGAACATGCGAGATCGGCTGGCGGTAGACGGTGACCTGGTCGTCTGCGGACAGCGGATCGTCGTCCCCAGCAGCCTGCGACGGGACGTTCTGCTGAAGCTGCATGCCAGCCATCAGGGGGAAGAAAGAACAAGAAGAAGAGCGAGACAGGTGGTCTACTGGCCAGGTATCGACCACGACATCTCCAACGCAGTGAAAGCCTGTCAAGAGTGTCGGCTTCATCTCTCGAAGCAACGGAACGAGCCGATCATCCAGATGTGTCTGCCAACAAGAGTCTTCGAAGTCGTCTCGGTGGATTTCTTTGCATATGGTGGTCGTACGTACCTGGTGTACGCCGACAGGCTGTCGGGATGGCCCCGGGTCTCTCACATGGGCCGGACAGCATCAGCACATCAGCTGACAACCAGTCTCCGGCAGGTATTCGCGTCGACTGGAGTGCCCCGTGTGCTCCTGAGCGACGGAGGACCCCAGTTCGCGGCCAAGAAGACCAGAGGCTTCCTGGCCAAGTCGGGTGTCAAGCACCAGCTGTCCTCGCCGCATTACCCTCAGGCGAATGGGCACGCGGAAGCAGCAGTGAAAGCCGTCAAGAGGCTCCTCAAGAAGGTGACTGCCAGCGGTGACCTCGATACAGACGCATTCGCGGAGGGGCTGCTGGAACTTCGAAACTCTCCGAGAGCGGACGGACGATCGGCAGCTCAAGTGCTCCTCAGCCATCCGCTGAGGTCGATGGTCCCAGCTCACCACAGCTCCTTCGCCAAGTGCTGGCAAGTGTGCTGATGTGTGCGACCAGCGCGCGGCGGAACGGCGTCGCAGAGAGGCTGACTACTATGACGCTTCAGCACGTTCACATCGTCCTCTGCAGCTGGGTCAACACGTGCTGCTCCAAGACCCCTGCACCGGCCTCTGGGACAGCACCGGTGTCATCAGCGGAGTCAGCCAGCAGCGCCGCAGCTTCCTGGTCCGCGCACCATCTGGACGCGTATACTGGCGGAACAGGCGCTTCCTGCGTCCGTTACGCCCGCTGATCTCGGAGGGCATCAAATCGCCAGCGGCTACACCAGCGTGTGAACCAACGAGTTCTGCCGCTTTGGCAGTGGCGTACCCGATGTCTGATGCGCCAGCGTCCCTGGATGTGGAGCGGGCGCCGCCTGAAGCTGCAACAGAGCAGCCTGGAGCGCCGCAGACGTCACCTGAAACAACTCGGACGTCATCTGAGGCGGCCCTATCGCTGCCTGAGACTACAGCATCATCACCTGGAGCGGAGTAGACGTCACTTGTAGCTGTGCAGGCGTCACCAGGACCTGCAGCGAACAGCGAGGCTCACTCACACTTGGCACGCCCATCACAGCAGACCGCAACCGCACCGTTGCGTCGAGGAGAGCGCAACAGGCGGAGGCCAGAGGGGCTGCAAGTGCGGTGGGGTACACGTATGTACCAAGAGTGATCGTTGTACTGTAGGTGATGTTATTGGATGCGTTATTTTCCGGCCCCGGGGAGGGGAGATGTGATGCAATGGTGCGTATCGTTTTCTTTTGTGAAGTGCGTTGTTTTGTTTTGTGTTTTTTGGCAGCATTGCATCCTATAATCCCAGAGGGGAGGTGTAATGTTCTGAAGGGAAACTGCTGCCACCAGTCAGGTTGTCCACGTGGCAGCGCTAGTGCTGCCTCCCACCTGATTTGAGGCAATACAGCTCTCAGCCCGGATCCGCCGTGTGTGGACGCTCCGCCGAGCCGTGTACCGACAGAGCACGGACCGAAAACACAACAGCCCCTGGCCTGAACGGAAATACGTCGATATCGGATGGAGCCCAGAATGCCTCACTCAGCACTGGGAACAGTGATGGATCTGTGCAATGAACAGCCCGGATCACACATGATTCATTAGCTCAGCATTGACACAGATCAACATACAACGTACATATCTAACCTTAGGAGTCTATCTGGATTGTCTTGACAACCCGTTGGCAGCCTGAGGCCAAAACCTGTCGTGCCTTTGACTTTGTGTCAAGCGTCTACAAAAAAATCGTTGGCATACATTTCACGATCTTACCCCTATGACAATATCCTATACATTCACAGATGCAACACATAACCAATAACCGTGCGATGGCTCATGTAAAAATTTCACTTGCGGTCACAGCAGTATGCGATCTGGAAATGATCGCCAGCATGCGTAAAAATACATTGGACGGGGAGATTTCCACTGTCCAGTACCCATATCCCTACGCGATAGCCTGCAGGGTTCAGCAACCTTCGTCCAGTCTTTGTGTTTTTCTCTTTTGCTTTTCCAGTACTTCGGGGATCGTTTATCCCAAAGGCTTGGCAACTGACGAACAGTTGCAATGATGACTTCGTCGAATAGGATCTCTGGGATCAGACGATATATGCTGTAAACTGCAGGTGGTAGAATAGCATTCTCCATTCCCATGAAGGGTTTCGTGCACACGCTATTTTTTATTGCATGCTGTTGACATTCATGACATTTACGCAGATTCATGGTAGTCAAAACAAGCAGACGCAGCGCAATTCTTTCAACTCTGATGATAGCAATGTACCAAGACTCCATCGCAATGCGTCCGAAGTTCAACAGCAGAACCTGACCTGATACCACTTAGGTACTACCTAGTGCTTATTGAAACTTGAACCAAGTACTGCGCACTTCTTCCATGTTGCGGCCGACAAGCCAGTTATGAACCTTGTTACCGAGACATGAGCAATCCAATTATCAAGAAAATGAGCGAGCGGCTAAACGTCAGACTCGGCGTTTTTAAAATGAGATGCTATGGTAGTAACGACGGTACACCTCCATGACGCTCGAGGGCACCAAGGCTCTAGAACAGAGGACAAACACCGATGCGCATGCCAGCAGTTTTCTCCCCGACCTCGTTTTTCGCAGCAGCCTCACGTGTAGTCCGAGACACCAATGATGGGATCTTCCGTTCAGGGGATTCTGGTGCATTTTGATTGGAGCAGTGAACAACGAATGAAGATAGTGAACTAGCCGGCATTGCAATGCCAAGGTTAGCCAAGGGAAATGGGCGGAAAACAACCCACAAAAAGACAGGTCACGCAATGTTTTGGTAATTTTTTCACACATTTTCTTTTTAAGGCGCTGGCGAGTACCTAAGGTGGCATGGGGGCACTTTTTCTTATTATGGGGAATGCAGCGCAGGACAGAAAAAGGGAATTAAACTGCCAAGAGTACCCGTGGAAAGGTGAGTGACAGTGATTTTTGTGGTGTGTGGGTGCGTTCCCCAGTAAATCAATAGCGTTAGAGCAATCCCGTAAGTTGTTCAGTGCATTTGCGGGGAACATTTTGCACATAGATAGAACGGTAGTAAAAGCCTTATTCCTCAGAAAGAAACCAGGAGGCTGGAGATGTAAATGGGCCATCGGATATAGAAGGATATAGAAGCTATAGATGGATCGGCAGACCTTTTCCACACAGCAATGAGTGAACACCCAAAATGAAAAGGGAAGAAATTGAGTGAGATGGGAATGGGAAGACGCGCGCTGAGTGTATCTGGGGTAGATGATAATAATATCAGAGCGGGATCCACACTTCCAAACACCACTTTATAGGTAGTGTGTGGTGGTCGGCGGTAAGCCACAGTTATGTGTGGTGTGCTGTAAGAAAAGGCAAAGAGAAGAAAGGGTTAGTTAAATCACCTTCCCGCCAGCCCACATATCCAACGCTTCGTCAGCAAACAAGACGTCCCGTATCCCAGCCGAAAATCGTGCTAACGACAGATCAAACGAGCCTATGTCGCGCAGGTGGAGCATGGGAAAGAGCGGGAAGAGCACAATTTGCCAAACATCCCCCAAAACGATGTTTGATAGCTTAAAACCATAGCCAGGGGTCTCCGATTACGTGAAATCCCCACTCGACTAGCCTCATTGACGTAG